AAAAATAAGAGAGAGAGCCCAAGTTCCTTTTCTTTCTCATTGGGAAACTAATAACCGATCATCGAAACGTTTTTTGCAAAAATGTTGGTAAAGAAACGAAAAATAAAATTGAAGCATAAATCCTTAAAGTTAAATATAGATTTATAATCTAAATTATTGTATTATTTTCTAACTACTTCCTATAAGATAGTGAGAAACACCATTCATACCCCGGATCACCAACTCAATAGTCCTTTTAATATTTTACACATGTTCTTGTGAATTTTTTATGACGTAATAAATATCTAGTTTCATCTTTCCATAGATGATCTTTCTAAAGATTGACGTTTAGGATATGAGGAGTAAATAAAGAAGCATTGATTCTATGATTATAGTAATTTAGGTTTAACTAGAAAGAAGTGATGGTTTTTTTGCATTTTCATAAACAATAGGGCTCGAGATTTATTGAGAAGGTTTTTAAAGAGGTGTTGCTCCTACAATTTGCCTTGTGGTGACCCTACTAAGGCTATTCCTACCCTATACACTATGTTAATCTTCTTCCCTATTTCCATTTCCTTTTTCTTTGTCTTTCACTTTTCATTTTATTGTGCCTTTCCATTTTGTCCTTAAGAGGGTCTTAATTACACCTATTTTCATGAAGAGAGGATGAAATTCCTTCCATGCATAACATAGCAAGTAGAGACATGAAATTCTCTCGAAAGTGGGACATATGGAGGTGTATATGGTGCTCTTAGTGCTAGTATGGCGGTAGTTAAAGCTTTAATATGCTCTTGTGTTGTTAAAAAAACCTATGTTAGATTTTAGATATGTTATTGCAATTGAAGAACATCTACCGGTTGGATGCTAGGACTAGTAAACTTCATTATAGTTACATTAGCTAGTGTCTCTTGATTTTCAACCAAAAAAAAAAAAAAAAACTTGAAGAACATATTATAAGTTAGGATTGGCTTTTAGCTTAGAGTCCCCTACAAATAGCGCCATCGACGAGGTTCCGAACCTCATAATTATAATTGATGATGTGGTGGTTTTTCTTTATGGTTGAAGTAACAATGGAAATCAATGGTAAATAATGATATAATGGCTTGAACTACTTATAAAACAAGTCTTGCTATTGGGTTGAAGGACCCTTCTATGACTAAGTTAGTGTACGAAGAGAGAAATAAACTTGATTAGGATATGTTATAATTGTGTAGGTGTATAAAAAATGATAAATAGTAGTAATAAGATTGATATAGTAAAACCTTTAACTCTAGCCTACTCGGATCTTTATATAGCCAAGGGTTTGAGCAAGTTGCATGGAGAAGAGGTTAGGATAGTCCATTATCTTGTTGCCAATAACTTCTAGCATCAACTCGAGAGACAAGTACTTATGGCAATGAATTACTATTTAACAACTTTTGTGACATCATGTTTAGTGCTGATTAGACAAGAGTAATCTAAGGAGTATGCCTTCATTAACTAAATGTACTTTTTATCCATTTAGTTAGTGGTATGTCCTTCAGTCTTCCGTACTAGGACTATGTGGTATAACTATGAAGACGATTGTGGGCAACTAGTTTGCTTATTGATTGTATTCAAGGAGTAATCCCAATTGAAATTCAAGAGTAATATGATGATGCATGTCGTTTACATCATAACACATGTAATAAAAAGAAGAGTTTACATATATATATATATATATATTACTATTACCAAGGCTTTTCTTTTGATTTTGTTTATTTTTATAATATGGAAGTAATGATTTTGTTGTATAAAATATTGAGACTTTTTCTATCGGTAATTTTTAAGTACTACAACCATAGAAAATTGTAGCATTTAATATAGTGATCGTACATAGTATTAGACTTTGTAAAAATATAGAGATTTTGCATATTTCAAGTTTTCATAGTGACAAATTTAACTAGAGAGGTAATTTTTATTACTCGTTAATATTGTTACTCGCTTATGATTAATTTATTTTATACTCTTAATTGTTGTGACTATTTGACTTGATTATGTTTTTACGAAATCTAATTAATACACAGTGAAAGTAAATTCCCAATAGTTTTATAATACTATTTGTATTAGATAATACTCAAAGAACAAATATATCCTTTGTTGGGTTATGAAGCAAATTAAAAAATAGTTCATCTATTTATGAAAAAATAATTTTTTTAGTTTCTTTTGTTTGAAAAACTAATTATATAGCTTCTTAATCATGTTAAACATGCATAATTTAATATTTCATAAAATATCATCTTTTGTCATCAATCTTTTCATATTTTTTTATTTTTTTTATTTCTTAAGAAACAAAATTAAAATGAATTGAAAATGAATAATTTACAAGAAAATTTTAAAATATAAAGATGAAATAATTAGTTTTTAAAATTAAAAAAAGACTAATTCTTTCATTTTTAAAAACTAAAGGGACTCATTTATAATTTACTCCTTGAACGCAATGCATCTATCAGACCTTACGTTGTATCCATACACGTGGCAGATTTGCAGGCCTTCCAAATGTGGGAGGCACCGTGGTGACACACATGATGCCATGGTGGGGCCCCGACCTAATCTAAATGCACACGTGTGCGGACTGATTTGAGAGCAGAAGGCCATTGACTTTCCATTAGCTTGTCCAAAGGTAGTATTAAAGCCTGCTTATTTTTTCATATTGATTATTTCTCCTCTCAATTTTCGTGGAGAAATGACATATCTGGTTAGTCGAGAATAATAAGCTGATCTCAAATGAAGAACTAATCAAGTAATAAAAAATTATCAAAGCTTATTCATGAGCGTGTGATGGAGTTGTTTCTAAGCTGATCTCGATTGAATGAGTTTGGACTCGAAGCTAACTTTGGGTTTATGCAGGGAGTTGTGCCATGATGGTGGCTAGGTAGCGTGTGATGGAGGTTGTGTGGCTAATCTAGGTTTTTTGTATGGTTATGTTGAGATCTACTTACCAACAATAGCCCCATTTGATGGCTGTGTTGATTTTTTTCAGGATTATAAACCATTATTCTTCCTACATATAAATTGTTTTTCCAAAATTTTATATCAAGGATCGATCGAATTTTTTTTACAAAAAAAAAGTGTTAATTGAAAATTTTCATTGATTTCTGGATTTTTAACTTTGTGGATTTGTTGAGTATTTAGGAAAATATTTTTTAACACTATTAATTTATTTTTATTTTTGTTAGTTGGTTTTTTAAAATTTAAAAATAGTTTCCAGATGTAAAGAAAATAAAAGAGTAAAAATTATGGGTAAACAAAATAAAGGACACATGGTGAAGCATTAGCAAAATTGTTGTTTTTCATTAAGAGTGTTACTAACAAAGAGAATATGTTGAACATATTTATTCAGTATAGGAATTTAATCAAGTTTAAAATTAATAAAGAAATCTAATTAATTAATTAATTATAATACAAGAATGAAATGAATAATGAACCTAATTTTTATTAAATGAGGAATTGATGATGATTGATGCAAATCTTATAATATTGTATTATTCATATATTTCACACATACATTGAGTCTAATGATTATATATTTCTTTATTGTATATAATTTAGGTGTTGTTTGATTATTAAAAATAATATTATGATAATATAAATAAAAATTTCATTCTTACTTTGTAGCTATTTAGTTGAAAAGAATGAAATAAGAACGAGAATAAAAAATTAAAATTAAATATAGTTTAATAATCATAGGAGAGATGGAAATAAAAACAAAAAATAAGAATGAAATTTTTTTCTTCAAAATGATGATATATTATTTTTATTTATTGTGTATCAGCAATTTTTATCACCTTCACAAACACCATCATCGACAGTGGTGATGAAAAAATGTTTCAAAACAAAAGATATTATTATTATTATTATCTTATTACCATTTAACTATTGTTAATAATGGTTATAAAAAATTTATTATTGGTTCATCACTACTCTTACTTAACAACTATCACCGTCACTCTTCTTTTTCTACCACCTTCTATGGTGGTAATATCAACTTTTTAAACATATATTATTGTTGTTATTGTAATGCTATTGCTACCACCTCGTCATCCTCCTCCTCCTATTCCATCACCATCATTATTACGATTTCAATCATCTCTATCATTTTTACTATTATTATAATTGATAAAAATAAATTTTTAATCATTATATTATTTATATTAAAATTTAGATATTAAAAAATTTAAATTTTATTATTTATTTATTATTACTGTTCTAAACAATACATGTGAATGCAAATATTATTTTGATTTTTTTTTAATTTTTATTATGAATCTTCCATTTTGAATTAGTTTAGTGTAGCTTAAATGCATTTTGATATCAAAATCTTTTTACATTCGAATTAATATAGACAAAATATAATTTTATGCTATTAAAGAAAAATAAAATTATGTCATTATAAATGCAATCAATAAATAGAAAAATACCTTTTTTAGAAGAATGAAAAATGATATGAATGTTTTTATATTTTTTTTATCAAGAATAATATTTTTCTAATCATTGGGCATTATAACTGCAATCAATGAATAAGAAAAATAGGATTTTTTTTTTCAGAAGAAAGAAAAAGGCTTAAAGAATTGAAGCAACCAAATAGATGATGGTGTATTTTTGGTCTTCTTTAGGGTAAGATTTAAAAATGGAAATTCACATTTTTTACTCATATAAAAAAACAAACCTTACATTTTCCCTTCATGGCAAAGAAAGGGTAGTAACCTCAAAAAATCCCTTTGAAATTGGAGTAAATTCAGTAACGTGCTAAAGTATAGTTGACCTTTCTCCCATTCTTTGGCAATTCTCTCTCTATTTCCAATTTTTAGGCATCCCTTTTGCCTCCTTCCCCCTCTCCTCTCCTCGCCGGTCGGTTCAATTTTCCCGGGAAATCGCGACCTCACGAGAAATTTCCCGGAAAATAAAAAAAAACACCTATTTTCCTCTATCATGATTCTTTCCTGAATTATCAAAATTTCTCCGGATTTTGATTCTGAATTCTGTTATTATTGGCGGTGAAGATGGCAAGTCAAGGAAGTTCCTCGAGGAAAAGCATGTCGTCTTCGTCATTCCAGGGAAGGAAAAAGGCTAATGAGAATGGTGGAGGAGGCGGAGGTCCTGATGGTTCAAGGAGGTCTCTTGCCGCTTCCCGCTCTATGTACGTTTGCTCTGCGTTTTTATTTTTTCTTATTATGTTTTGTTATGTAAATTTTTTTTCTTTTTGTGGGTGTTGCTTTGTTTGATTCTTAAAATTACTTTTATTTATTTTTCTTAATTTAATAATTAGAGCAATTAAGGAAACAACTAATGAGTTGGGTGTATTTTAAAATTGGGTTTTGCTTTCTTTTTTTTAGTTGTTACATTTATTTTAGGGCTTTTTTGTAGAGATTATTTGACCATTATAAATTGTGGGATGGGAAAAGAAGAGCTTTGAATGGTATTGTGGCTGTTGCTTGCAATTGTGAGCTATTGAGATGATTCAATCAATATTAGTTTGGTTCATGAGGAAAACAATCTGTGTTTGAGGGTGGAGAGGTGTGTCCCAATAGGATGAATTTGGATTTTAGGTTCGTCCTTGGTGCTGTGTATGGTAATGGATCTTCTCTTTTTGAGGAGATAGAAAGGAAAAAGGTAAATTTGTGGATCAATGAAAATGAATAGATTGACGAAGTTACAGAATATGATCAGGAGGAACTCTTCTAATGCTCTGGGAAAATTAAAAGGGGATGGGTGTGTTGAAGGGGGGCATGTGAGCCCCTCAATTTCTTTCCTCCTTGCTCCTAGAAAACTTCTGATAAGATATAAAAACTTTCTTTCCTCTCCTTTTATATCCAATCATTATTATTCATGCTTTTCCCACTTCTCCCAACTATAGTAATGGGATGCTTGAGCTTAGTAAGACATAAAACGCCGGGCTTGACCCTGGCATCATGTTTAGCTAATCAGTCTTTTGGGCTACTTTATCATTGGATGCATATTAGGAGACGTAATAGTGATCTCTGACTATATAGATAGAAATTCAGTTCACATGACAAATATCTATATATTGGAAGATCTGGCAGCAATGATTGCTACATTGCCATTACAGTAACCTTCCATTTATAACTGCATCTGAAACAGGGGACTAACTGGAGAGCGCACAGTAAAACGTTTGCGTCTGTCAAAGGCCCTGACAGTACCTGAAAACACAAGCATTTATGAGGCTTGCCGTCGGATGGCTGCTCGTAGAGTTGATGCCTTATTGCTAACTGACTCTAATGCGCTACTTTGTGGAATCCTTACAGATAAGGTATGACTAAAATTATATATTGCCAGGACAATAATAAAAAATAAAAAAAACTAGTGCAAGGAAGCGTTCTTTGCTGCCTTTACCATAACGTGGACCTATTTTTATGTCATATTTCCTCTTTCTGTAGGATTTAGTTTCAAGAGTAATTGCTCATGAGGTTGATCTTGAGGAAACACCTGTTTCTAAAGTTATGACCAAGAACCCTGTTTTTGTTCTTTCGGACACTCTTGCTGTGGAAGCTCTCCAGAAGATGGTTCAAGGTTTGTAACAAATTGAGATTCATGTCAACCCTGCAACCCTGTTACATCTTACCATTTGGATATGGTCCTGATATTAATAATCAACAGGAAAATTCAGACATTTACCTGTTGTCGAGAATGGAGAGGTCATTGCCTTACTGGACATAGCAAAGTGTTTATACGATGCCATAGCTCGTATGGAAAGGGCTGCAGAAAAAGGAAAAGCCATTGCTGCAGCTGTTGAAGGTGTTGAAAAAAATTGGGGGACATCCATATCTGGTTAGTGGAAAGTGTTTGTTTGAATAACCTTTGTGACTACTTGTCCTTCTGGCTACTTACTATTTAACGCAGTGTAGAATTTATTCCTTACTTTCCTTTATGCTTTTGTTTTATTTTATTTTATTTTATTTTTTGGTTCTCATGCAGGATCCAATACATTCATTGAGACACTTCGAGAGCGGATGTTTAGGCCTGCTATATCTACGATCATTCCAGAGAATTCAAAGTAGGTAATAATTTGTCTTCTTGAGTATTTTTCTTGGATATTCTACCACTATTTTTTTAAGAGGATCTGTGGACAAAACAGACAGTAAGCTGTTTAATTTGATATGTTGTTGCATCCTTCAGGATTGTAACAGTATCACCAACAGAAACTGTTTTGGAAGTATCAAAGAAGATGCTTGAATCTCGATCAACCTGTGCAGTAGTGACAGTTGATGAAAAACCCCGAGGAATTTTTACGTGAGTTTATTTTCAAATTTCATCTAACAAGCAAGTGAATAGAGTAAAAAACTACATTAGATATCTTTGTTTGCATCTAAATCTAGCAGGAAGTTTTTGTTATGTTCTTATTATTAATACACATTATTATTATTATTATTATTTTTTTTTTTTTCTGTCAGTTCAAAGGATATCTTGATGCGAGTAATAACACAAAATCTTCCTCCAGGTTCGACTCTTGTAGAGAAGGTATTTTTCTCTTTAGACAGCGTATTATGCTTTTTGAGGGATTTTGTCAACAGAAAATTCTATATGTCCTGTATCCTCCTATTTGCAACACTATAGAATCTGCTAACACCAAGGAGATTGTGATTTATGTACCCTCTTAAAAAAGCCATTATCCAATTATATTTTTAAGTGGATCTCATACTGAGAATTGGGGAATGAGATTACCTGTTTAGCATATTTTAAATGAAGCTGCGGCTCTAAAACTTAAACTTGGACTCTTAACACAGAAAAATATCTCTTTCTGATAAGTGGAAGGAAGTAGTTAAGTCAGCCATCTTGCTTTAATTTTTCTACAGGTCATGACTCCCAATCCAGAATGTGCAACCGTTGATACACCAATTGTTGATGCTCTGCACACCATGCATGATGGGAAATTTTTGCACCTTCCTGTGGTGGATAGAGGTAACATTCTCGTAGAGGAAGAGTGAAATGCTTTTTAGCCAGTCATTTTGGTTTCTAATGACCTTGAATGGTTGGATGCAGATGGGAACATAGTTGCAGTCATTGATGTGATTCATATCACTCACGCTGCAGTGGCGACAGTAAGCCAAGTCTGTCTTGGACTATGTTGTGCTTCACAATGCTCCCTTTGCAAGTTTTATTGACCTGGAATGAGTTCTTATTTCTTAGGATAATAATTAATATGCTTTCAAATTTAACAAAAAAGTATTCTTGAAAATTCCTCATATATCTGTTTCCAGCTTGTATTTGTTATGGTACTCTAGAAAACTTGTTGAAGTCTTCCTATATGTTTCAAAAGAATAACAAAACAAAAGGAAAGTTCTGTAACTTGGAGATACTCTGAATATGTATCCATTCCGCATTACATCCTAAACTTTTGAGAATGGAGGATGTATTAGCATATCTGCATCCAGTAACATGCTCATTGTTTCCTTCCTAAGCACAAATAAATTTTGTCGGTAGTAACCACTTCCCGAGAAGATTAAAGTAAGTGATTGTAGTGGATGATTATAATATCAATAATAGGAATAAAAGTGTGGACCTGGAGGAGGACGGCCTCTACCTTTTATGCCATCGCATGCTGTTGTGTTAGAATTAAAGTAGATGGCTTACCTTGCATGTCGTTTAGAAGTGCAATTGTGAAGTATGTCTTTTTCAAAATGAGAGGCCGAGCAGTTGGATGCTTGTTGTGTTTTAATAATTAAGGTGGCATGCATGTGGTATTTTACTTTCGGCATAAGTTGTAAATTTATATTCTCTGTTTTGAGAAGAATATATGATTTTATGATTATTGCTGAGAAGAAAAAAAACATTCATGTGCCCTTCATTAATCAGGTTGGGAGTGCTGCTGCAGCAAATAATGAGACTGCAAACACAATGATGCAGAAGTTTTGGGATTCCGCCATGACTTTGAGTCCCAATGATGATGATGAGGAGGCGCGAAGGTTAGATGTTTTGTTGTTAATTTAATACTAGCATTTTGATTTCTTTAACTTACACATAGTTTGATGAAATGCCAGTGAAGGTTCCTTGAAATTGGCTTCCGAAGGAACAGAGACGGGGAGATCGCTTCTCTATCCGTCATCGGGGTATCCAAATGTATTTTCTTTTAAAATTGAAGACAAAAAGAGGCGAATGCACAGATTTACTTGTGGTAAGATACTTGTTTTGCTTTTTATACTGGGCTTTTTAAAATGGTCATGAATTTGGTTTTCCCTACCGCATCTGGCATGCATGTAGCTTATGGGACGCACACTTCATTACAAGTTACTGCCAGGTTACTTGCTTTAGAGAGTACAAACATATATTTGTGATTCTCAATAAGTTTGGCTTTTTTGGCTTAGGAGATGTGAATGGCTGAATGCTGTGAAATCCTGGGTTCAGTTAATGAAAATACAGTTCACATATAATAGTTAGCTGACCTTGTTTATGGCTTTCTTTTGAGGTAGAGACCAGGAGTCTGACTGATCTAATAACTTCAATCCTTCAGAGGCTAGGGGATGATATCAACCGTAACAACCTACCTCAAATTCTGGTATGTTTTATGGACTTTGTACCATGATTAGTAGCCTGGATTAGTTATTCTTGATTTCATACTAATTTGTGGTTGCACTCTAAAGTATGAAGATGAAGACCATGACAAAGTTGTTCTGGCATCAGATAGTGATCTCGTCACAGCTGTAGAGCATGCGAGATCAGCTGGTTTGAAGGTATGTTCAGCTGTCTGCTTGTCATTAATGTTTTTCTTATAGAAAAGTGGGCTAAATAAGTTAAATTAAGGGACAAACTTACCTGGAGAAATGGGTTATTGGTGGCGATGGCATTAATTAATAAAAACTAATTGAGAATAGTTCCTTCATGGATCATCCTCTTGACATGAAAGACTATGAATTTCTCTGTTTTCCAATCCAAGTTCTATATGAACGTAGTTACAAAAAAAAAAAAACCGCAGCCTAAATAACACTTGAAAAACCAAATGCAGGCAGTCGCTTACTCACCTTGCAATAGAATATTATATTATTTTGGATATGGTTATATTTGTATACAGAATCACGAGTACTTCAGATGAAAAGAAGAAGGGATTTTTGGACCAGTGGATTTGCAGTCTCTCCCCACATAGCTACCAGACTGCCTTCATTAATATCTTTTCTTCTTATGTTACATTTGGTATGGAATTGAAATTTTGAATAGGAAATGTTAAGGGGGAAGATTTAAGGGTGGGTGTTAAGGATATAAAAAATTGTTGATGAGTGAAATGTTAAAGATGTTTGGTATGAATGTAAAAGATAATGAGTGACACTGATTCCACTAAACATTAAATCATCTCTTGAACTAAATTTTATTTAAAAAATAGAAAACATAAATTGATGGGTCCTGAATGCCAGGTTTAAGATAAAGAGGGAAAATTTTGATGCTAAATTAAAAAATCAGAGGGAAAGCAGAAAAACCAAAAGATTTTCCCCTTGAACAAATTTTTTACTTCCCACCTTGGAAGGTAACACTTACTCTCACGTTTGGGTTTAAGTGTTACCCTTGATAAGTTTTCCCTTACAAATTTAGTGTTCCAAATAAGGGGAAGGGGGTTAAAAGTTAAAAGTAGTTGATTTGGGTTATTTGCTGATGAGACCTGATCATCCTTAATTATTTTCTAGTAAGACCTAAACTTTGATCTTTCTCAGATTTTGGATCTTTTTTTAGAAAGAAGCTTGAATGAGTGTTCTCTTTAAAGGCGGTGTTGTATTTGTTAATCATATAAATCTTAACCATAATGGAAACAGCACTCACAAATCATGATAAGTTTCTGTTTTGCTGTAACAATTATTCTTTCTGAAAGGATCTGTTAAGTTCAGCTGTCCTAATTTCATTGATGAACTTTGCAGAGTCTGAGATTGCACTTAGATTATTCAGGAACATGTGGAAGGAAGGGTTCTAGTTCAGAAACTTTTGATTATGCCCAAGAAGATGCATGGGCTTCTGCATACAGTGCTGTTGCTGCAGGAGCTGCTCTAGTTGCTGGGTTAGGCGTATTAGCATACTTAAAGAGATCTGGTTACTGATACTTTTAAAATTTACAAGTTCATACAATTGTAACATCTTCTGATGAGCTAAAAGGCCAAACAGAAACTGATTGCAAGGGAGTTTTCCTGTGATTGATGTTTTGTAGAACTATATACTATACAAGAAAATTCATTCCTGGTTCTGGTTATTGTGTACATCGCATGTATAACTGCCACTTCTGTGCATTCTGTCATTGGAGATGTTGTTTTCCTCTAGGTTTTGCTTTTTCTAATTTTGCTGGTTATTGACTGAGGTTGCCATCAAATGACAGGCCATTTTATCTACCGAACAGAACAATACCTGCTTATTCTTGATTTTCTCATCCCCGTTCCCCGTAAGTAACCTTTGGGGTAAACATTCACCCCACCCTTGGATTTAGAATTTACACAATTTCAAAGGACAGACCATTTTCTCTGCCCCCACAGTTGCTTTTCTCAAGCTGCTTCAAGCCAAGCCCTAAGCTATTTTTGTGGGCAAATGCAAGCAGTGGGACAGTGCGATCCAACAAAAGATTTAGCTAACCGATGCATGATTTGCAGAAACACGTACAACCCTAAGCTTGTAGTTAATAAATTGCTCTAAATTTCTAAACATAAGATGATTCTTTTCGGTTAGCAATTGGAAATAACGTATGTCATTGTTAGCCTGCGAGTGAGAATATCGAAGTTCTTTCCCATTTGCTTGATCGATATCAGTTGGGCTTACCAAAATCAAGGACTACAATTCCACATGATAGTTATACTTCGAGCAGCAAAATTACTCAAGCCGAGCGGTTAAATCAGAAGAATCACCCCTTTTTGGTTCTGACTGCATCGTTGATGAATGAATTGAATCACCATTTGAATACAAATCTAACCTTCTTCCCAGCAGGTTCAAGAATTTGCGGTGACCTCAACAAAGCACTACATTCAACAGCCTCTGTCTCGACATACAGTTCGAGGTGCTTGATATGGATGCCTTTTAAGTCGCGGGGCCGCCGCCAAAATTCGCTGAGGGAAAATGTGCCCCAATGATTTTTTTTCACACGGCGCGGTAGTTTTCGGCAAAGAACCTCGATCAATTCATTGTTGGGACCCGAATGTGATATAAGCAGTAGAGACTCTGGATGGCATACCCACAATAAGCCATTTACAAGAGCTTTCAATTCAAGTCGGGTCAGCGTGTGATAAGAATAACTCTTAGGGATTTGAAGCTTCAAGTGCTTGACATTGGATGAAGCAGGAGTAGAGATATCCTTCAATATTTCAGGTTCGTCAAACCTGATGGATGCAGGCTCAATTTGCAATGTGAGACATTCAATTTCTTGGAAATTTTCAAGAAATTCCCTCAGTTGGAGGAAATATTTAGTATGGAAACGATAGGTACGTACTTTGAGGGTAACTTCCCGTTTAATACTTGATCCATCCACTGAAACACGCATCTCAGAATCGGTGGTGTATTCGAATGATTGTATATTTGAATTGATGATGGTAGGTTCCATCCCCCCATATGAACTGACTTGTAACATCTCAAGCCGTCGATTCAAGATTTTGATCGTCTTCACCCGGTCACAGTCCAAAATCAAAACTTTAAGGACTGGAAATTGAGGAATAATATCCTGACATGCATCTTCTTCAACATTATAAGACGTCAAATTCAATACCTCTAGATTCTTGCAGCTGGTCATATCCACATGGCAGTTTTCAAGCGAACCACTGTAGCAAAAAGTTTGAAGACTTGGTACATCAATATCAATTCTTTCAAAACCTTCCGATGTTGTCCGCGAAAGCGTAACCTCTTTGAGAACTCTACAACCGGAAAGTTGAATGCTTGTGAGCCCATAACAGTCCAGTAAAACAAGTTTCTCTATCATAGGGCAACCGAAGATGAGATTCTGAATAAGGTCCTCGTCAACATAAATTTGACTGAGTGAAAGAACACGTAGAGAAGGCCAGGTTACGACGTCAGATTCGAGACTCAGGTTACTATATCCACGCAACTTAAAAACCATTAATGATTCCGCAGAGAAGACGACTTCAGGCAAAATATCAAAATCATCATTGTCAAGATCAAAAATAGATTTCCTTTTCTGTTCAAAGTTGAGATCGAGCTCCAAAACACCATGCTGTGTAGCCAGTGTAAACAAATCCTCAATACGAGAAAAATACTCATCATCATCATTGTCCAGGGTCAAAGATAGACCAAACCTCCGTATTGGGCATTGCCTAAGCAAAGACTCTTGTACAAACTTAAAGGAATTTTTCTCTCTTTTTTGGAATATAGAAGGTGGCATCCAATCAATATTGATAGAACGAAGCCCGAACATGGATTCGTGAAAATCAGAAATAGAGAAAGATTTCCAAACCCGGTACCATGTCTTAGACAAAAAACTCGCTCGACACCCATACCTGGTCGGAAGATAAGATAGGATGTGGTGCAGAATGTGATCAGGCAATTGAGAGATCCTATCAGAGGCATCAATTTCGATTCCCATATCCATGTTGGTGACGATATCTTTTTGATATACAGCTTCAAGATCTCTTCTTTCTGCTTTCTCTTGACACCCGATTCTCTCTTCCATCCAGTTGTTAATTAAGAGACTGTACGTATTATAAATTATAAGTTAATCCAATCCTAATTAACAAGAACACACACATATATAAATGCTTAATGATTTATGAGAAAGTAAAAGATTGTAATTGAATTGCATACCTTGTTTTTCTGCAACTTTTGAAGTTGAAATTGAATCCAAGGAAAACGAACAGGAAACTTGTGCCTCTCCCTCCTCAAAAAATTACTGTTATGCGTAAGCTGTAGGATTTTTATAAAGACACTAGTCTCCAAGTCAAATTAGTGAAATTAATTATTTAATGCTTCCGAGTCCAAATAGGAAAAATTTCTCATGATATTAATTTAATTTATGAATACCAGAAATATGAGAATATACAGTATCGATTGAACTGCATACCTTTTTTTGTACTAGTTGAAATTGAATAAAAAATAATAAAGATATATTAAAATATAATAATAATAAGAAGAAGAAGTTAGTGTGTGTATATATATATATATATATATATATATTTAAAAAAAAACTAGGTTTAAAGTAATGGACATACTATATATATATATATATATAATTAAAATTGAAAAATGGGATAAATCCTCAAAACTATACTATCAACTCTACTCAGGTTAGGAAAAAAAAATCCGAAGCCTTTCAAAGGTGTGTTAAACAAAATCAAAAACTCTAAATTCAATTATTTTCAATTACACCCACAATCAAGTAATTTTAATTCAATTAATTATTTAAAATTTATATTAGTCACATAATTAATATTAACCGAATATGGATTAATAAAATAATCACCCGATATAGGATATTCAGACAAATTAAATAAAGAATAAAACAATGAGGGGTTTATATACCTCAATCAGGAGTTTGGGGACTAAAATGACTAAAAGTGCAGCAACGACAGAGGATGAAGAATTGGAGCGTGAGTTCTTTGTAGTTATTGGAATTGCTTCTTTCTGGCAGACGTATGATCGTCTTTGAAGGACGATTAGGCTGCTCCAGCGCGTGTTGCCGGAAAATGGTCTCATAGAGAGTTGCAACCTCGTCTTCTCCTGCCTACGTTTTGAAAAATCATGATTTTTTATGCATTCATTCTTAAATAAAAAATTATAATAATTTAAATAAGAATATTTATCAACAATTAAAAAAAACTTTAAAAATATATTTTTCATAAGAATGTATTTTAAAAATAAAGTCACAACTAATGTATAAATTTATATAAAAATTAATTAATAAAAAATATTCTTATTTAATGTTGATGAGAATATTAATTTTGAAAATATATACATTTGGTCTATTTATATTTATTTACAAAATAATCAACAAAATTAATATAAAAAACTGTATTTGAATAATTGGTTTATTCCTTTAAAAAATTATTTTAATTATTTTATTTCAAAGAAACTAGTTCTATAATGTAAAAACAAATATTCATAGCAAATAGTTTGTATTATGTGTGAAGACGTATAGTTAATTTTTAATAAAATCAACAATTCAATAACTTTTTTTTATATGTCTTGATCATAACTAATGGATAAGATAAATTATATAAAATACACTTTTAATTATTTAGATTAAAATAATTATATATCTATACACATGCAATCGTTATTTAAAAATTCTAATAATTCATGATATATATTATATCAATTTATTTTTCAAAAAAGGAAAAAAATCACATTTTAAAATTTTATTCTAAAATTTAAATATATAAAAAAAATTATATTTATTAGCAAATAAATTTTATATAAAAAATATTAATTAGATGAGAATTTTCAAAAGAAATGATAAATTCAAAGAATAAATGTTAAATAATAAGAGTAATATAAACTGAAATATATATTAATTTTGAAATATAAAAAATAGTAAATATATTTTATCCTCGCTATGATACATGAAAAACACAAATAATAACGTTCGATATTTCGTTATTTTTGCCTAAAAATTCTTAATTTTGAAAAAAAAACAAGAACCAAGCCAGCACGCCTGGGCCTAAAGGACCAGGCTTGCTCATGCCTAGGCTTGGGCAAGAAAAATTATTTTGAATTTTCATTGATCTTTGTAATTTTCAGCAACTCCATTTCGTTGAAAAAGTCGTTGGGAAGTTGGTTTCTTAATTTTGGCCTCCCAAAGCCTAATTTCGCTTTGTTTTGTACAAAACCACGTTAAAATGAAAGAAATAACGTAAAAATAAAACTCGTTTAGAACTTCAAACACTATTTTAATGGACACAAAATACACAAAAAAATGAAATCAAAAGAAATAAAAACTCAAAATATTTCAGACTTTTGATGTGTCTTCTCCGAGCATCTCATCACTTGCCACCATCACAAACAAATTTTACTCCTCGAGGTGAACAAATTGGTGGTAATATCAACTGTCGGGGTTACCAAAATTAGCCTCAACGTCCCTCGTCTCTCTTCCCTTTCTCTTCCTCGTTTCTCCCTCCTCTCTTTTCCTTTCTCTCTCCTCTTAGTGTTTAGGGACCAAAACGAATAGAAAATGAAGTTGAGAATAAAAAAAAATGATATTAAAAACTGAGGGACCAAAGTGCATATTTTTGGATAAATAGTGGCAAGCACACTAAATGAATGGTAATTTTAAAAAGAGTTCACAATGAATGAATAGTAAAAGAAGAGTGAACAATGTGCACATGGTTTTTTTCATTTTGTTTTAGTATATTTAGCAATATCATACTTCCTATGTCAGTTTCACAATTTCCTCTTTTTTTAGATTAAAAATTGAGTTTGAACAGCAAGGCCCAATACCTTACCTTCTTGAGCCAGATGTGCGGCCTAACTGTATTTACACTCATTTATTTATATGTTTTTTGGACTTCAAAATTTTCATAAAAGCATTTTGGGTCCTATTGTATAAAGTTTTTGCAATCATAATTAATGAGCATGCATTCTCCAAATTAATTAGAACATACTAGTTAGATACATATGCTATGTCGCGACCAAATAATCGTTACATACGTAGGATTAACGATTTGTATGGTGTAGTGTGAGTAGAAGTTTTATTTCCGATGATTAATGTTAATCGAATTTATATATTGAGCAAAATCGTTTAATATATATATATATATATATATATCATACTTAATAGATTCGTAGTATATTGAATAAATAGAAAAATATACAAAAAAATCCACCTAAATTGTATGAAATATATTTAAGTCAATAGATTAAAATAAGAATTACAACAAAATTGATTCCGATAAATTTTGAATAAATATATATAAAAAAGCAAATAAAACTTGTGAATTTTTTTTTAAAAAATTGAGTTAAACTATCTAAAACATTCTTCTCTCTCTCTCTCTCGACATTTTAAAATTTTATTCCAAAATTCATATACTAAAAAACCAAATTTATTAACAAATAAAATTATATCAAAAAATTAAAAAATTAATTTGATGACAATTTTAATAAGAAACAAATAAGAGTAATATAATCGGATATATATATGTTCAAACTAAAATCTTAAAGTTATCATATATATTCTATAACTATCAAACCGTACGTAAAACTTAAAAAAAATATTGATTTATTTTCTATATTTTTCACACCTAATTCCGTGATAAAAATAAAAAAATAAAAATAAATTATAAAAAGAAATAAAAGGCCAGTGCTCATGCCTTATACTACATATCTCCACCAATGTCAGTCTCTATAACTTAACACAATTTTTGCATTTCTCAAGATTAATTTTTTTTTCTAGAAATGGTTAAGGGACATTGATCCCCAAAACATGGTTTCTGTTACAATCTTTTTCTTTCTTTAGTTTTTAAGATATATTTAATGTATATATCAACTATGTAATTAACTAGATGGTTTCTCTTATTAATCTAATCTCTATTTTATTAATCTAATCTCTACTTTATCAGCAAAAAAAAAAAACAAAAGTCTAATTTTTACCGCCCAAGAAAACATAATCTAGCATATCAATTCAACACAGATTTTGCATATCTTCAAACTAGTCTCTTTCTAGATATTGTTAAGGGACACTTATCCCCAAAACATGACTTCAATTATAATCTTTTTCTTTTGTTAGTTTTTTAAAATATATCTAATGTATATCTCAACTATATAATTTAACCAAATTGTTTCTCTTATTAATCTAATCTCAATTTTATCAAAAAGAAAAAAGTCAAACTTTTACTGCCCAAGAAAACATAATCTAGCATATCATAAAATAAAGAGCTGCAAGATTGTTTTGATTTACTTCTTTTTTTTTTATGCATACAATTCAGTTCGAAGGAAGCTTTCATCAAAGATTGTTTGTTTCATATTGTGATAGTTTGTTTCATATTGTTTCACACTCCTAGCTAGAAATCTCTCTCTCCCTCCCTTTTCCTTTTCTGCCTTTTTAGAGAATGATAATAATAGATTATAAAAAAAATGGTCCCATTAGTTGGTCTGTGTAGCCAGGACAGGCCAACTTGCGCTTGGGCCTGTGATCGCAGGCTTGCACGCTAGGCCTGCGCTTGGGCCGTTTGGGCTTGCTTCTCCAGGCCTCAACCGCTGTTTAATCAAAAAAAAGGAAAAAAAAAGGAAAAAACCTATAACTTTCGACAAACTCTAGCTTGTTGGAATCTTCGTCAAAAAATCACGGATCAAGTTTCAAAACTCAAAAAACTTAATTTCAGTATTATTTTCTTCCTCAAATACCTCTAAATGACCGGAAAAAAAACACTTTTAAAACCTTAAAAATCATTTTAATGCTCATTAAAAAAAATACATAATCAAATTAGAAATTTTTTTCCTTTGATCTACTTCCTCCAATTATTTGATGGCTTGAAACCATAAATACACTTATCTCTAAAAGATAAAAAATATAATAGAGTTTGGTCGGTCACTAAATAACCTTAGTCGATGCTCTTTATCTCCTCCAATCTCTCTCTTCTTTCTTTCCTTTTCTAGATCGGGGATCAAAATGTATTAGTAAATGAAGATATAGGTCGAAATAAAATTTTTAAAAATATCAAGAGTCAAAATGTAAAACAATTA